TTTTTTTTTTTTTTGGGGGGGGGGGGGTATATGGACTTGGTTCTAATTGGTGATCTGTTAACATTGTATGTTTCCCCTCCATGTGCATGTCCCTTCATACAAATATGATTTATCGTGTTAGAGAATTTTGCAGTTAAAAGGTATCTCTTTATCTCTCTCTCTCTCCTGGCCATTTGACTATAAATGAAGTAAATTTTTTCACAGGAAACATTTGTTCACTTCTCTCATGAAGAAGCCACAGATAGCAGAAGACCCCTGTCTGCACTGCAGTCGGATGGCTTTGCAACAACCAAAAGTCTTCAGAGGTTTAGTGGAAGAGCTGTGCTTTCTAAAATTGAAAGACGAAGACCAGGAAAAAGGCCTTCTTCAGCTTTCAGAGTCTGAAACAGATGATGACCGATAACTGGCCAAAGAGCCTTCAGCCTTTCACTTCCGAATTAAGGATGATAGACTTTTTTTTTTCAAGGAGTAATTTATTTTTTTTAGTATATTATGCCTTCGCTACTTAAATGGAAAAGTACATTTTTATTCAAATTTAATATATTTTGTGTTTTGATTTTTGGGTTTGATGGATCTGAATTTGCTTGCTTTAATCAATCCTGTGTAGAATTGTGTAATGTGTATGAAAAAATTGTTCATTCTGAAATGGTCGAGTAAAAACATACATTTTATTTCAAATAAAGTGTTCAAATGCTTAAGCTTTGTTTTAATTTTTAGTGTTTTATTCTTTGTGTTCAGCATTAATTTAAGACATAAAACAAGATGATAAATCTTTAACTTTAAGAATACTTAAAGGGATACAAGGGGTGTGTGTGTATATGTACATTGAACAAAATTATAAACGCAACACTTTTGTTTTTGCCCCCTTTTTCATGAGCTGAACTCAAAGAAATATTGTCATTTATTAGGCAAATAACACTGAATCTTCAGATGGCAGATCAGATCATTCTTTATGACTGTTACGATTCGTTATGTTTGTATATATATTTGTTTGTGTTTCCCACTAGATCTTGATTGGTCTCCCTTTCCGTCACTCATCATGGGTTCCGCTGTCTCCGTTGACGCCTCCCCGCCGGAAGTATAAAAGGCGATGTCGCATCTGTTTTCGGCAGGACGCTGGGCTGGGCTGTGTTTGTGTGCCTCTTTGAAATGATTGTAGCTTTAAGTATGCTTGCTTTGTTACCGTTTATGTTGTTGATTTGTCTTATTCTTTATTTTACCCCATGTATTTAGGTTTGTTATTTGATTTGAGCGTGGAGTGTGTCCAGTTAGAGCGTGCGAGTAGCTCGCTGAAGATGTTGTTTTGAATTTTATTTGGATTATTCTAGGTTAGATTTAAATTCTTTAGTTAGAATAATTTTGTTTTAATTTGTTCTTTGATTTGGCAACACTTGTGCTCTCTTCATTACTTCCTTTGGTGAGTTTGTTAATCTTCAAGTCTTTTTCTTTTTGTTTGTTAACTGGAAATATATATATATACTTTTCCCTTTTGGATGAATTTAAAGCTTATACTTTTTGGTGTATTGGTTGGGGTTGAAATGAATAAATGTCTTTTCTCTGTTTGAACTTGTAGCTTCTCCTCTTCATGACTTGCCCACCGTTTGATATGCACTATTAAGATCTATACTAAATGTT